CTTGATGGGTGATACAATCGGTTATTGCGAGGCAGTATAGAAACCGCCTTACGCGCGTGGGGTAGGACAGGAGAGACAGGAAGGACAGGAAAGATTGGGATTGGAGTATGGGTTATGCATGTTTGGCGCGTGGCATCTTTGAATTTTTGGGTGAAACTTTTATTGGGCATATTTTTCTTTTGGAGGGGAGCAATTGGCGTTTTTCATTTCCAGCGAGGGTGCATTCTTTTTTTCTCTTCTACGAAAACATTCTTTATTTTTAGGGGAACATTCTCATAATTCAGACAAACAAATCCTTGATTTTTGTGATACCTGATCCTACATACATGCAAATGTTTCGTCAGCGCGTTAGTGACATTAGTGTGATTCCTAGGTTTCGGTGTCTCCGGCATGCTTCCGCCATGACCCATGGGTGTCTTTAACGAGGTCTACGCTCGGGCTTTGGTAAACAGATCTCGTGTCGATCCTGTAATCTGGGGTGCCATCTGATCAGCTGAATCTTGTGTGTACGTCCATGACCACAGTTGTGTTGCACATGCACTAGATATGGTGTAGAGCTACAATATTAATGTTGCACAATACACAAGCGGATATATAAATTAGGCGAATAACGTGCACTTCTAGAGGAAGGCGTATCGATATCCTTGACGGATATTAGTGCCTACAGCTTAAAATAACACTGAAGCGGAGATTGATGATTCATCAGTTGCTATGGGTTTTTGTTCTGGAAACATCTGGATTCCTTGGACCAGTGTATGTAGTGTAATAATAGCACATACCTCAGGGGACAATGCAAGAAAGGTCGCATAAGATCTTCAATATGTACGTAGAGGATGTACGTACAGGAAGTACGGCACAGTGAAATTGCTGCGTAGTTAAATCGAGCTAGAACCTGGAAAGAAGGCCCTTAATGCTCCTCCCGCATTCTATGCTATTGTTGTAAAAAGCCTACCCCCTTTTCCACATTGTATCTACATGTACATATTACAGTGCAACTCACATTTATTTTAGATATCATATTCTACCAGGCTGATCGGACTATAATCCATAACAAGCTCAATCAATTTCTACTGACAACTCCATTGTTATCACTCGGCCCAAACACAAACTCCTTCCAGTTATCGCTGAGCTTTCTAGCACAATCAACAAGCTGCAACCCTCTAACGCCTGCTATCAGCCTTACAGCACCCTCCAATGCCTTATCCATGTCTTCGCCTGCTGTATGCAAGTCACTCTCCACCAAGACCCTGTCTTCAGGCGCCCCGCTAATTGTCTCCATGATCTTACCAACATGACCTTTGACAGGCCTGGCATTTATTGTAGTTGAGAATGAGAAGTAGACTTGTGAAGGATAACGATGCTTCGCTGACGGCGGGGTAAGATACTGTTGCAGCGTCTGCGGAGGTGCAGAGAACGAGTGAAGGCATACTCTAGGGGGAAACGGCTTTTGACTAGTAGTTCGTGGTGCTGGTTGACTCTTCTTGGGCCGGAGCCAAGCATAGTCCTCATCGCCCTCCCCCGCAAACTCATCATCTTCATCCTCGTTGTTGTCACTACTATCCTCTTCATCGTCACCAAAATCAGGAAGATATTGATGTCCATCTTGTCCCTTCCTTCTTCGGCGTTTCATCTCTTTGCGACTCTCAACAATAAGCTCATGGCCCTTCCAGAGCTCTCTGAAAGTGTCAAACAGCGCACCGTGACATTGAACTCCATGCACACTAACAGCTCTCTGCAGCTCTCCAGCCAGCTTAAGTTGTGCTACAAACACCCGCTTCTGATGCTCCATCGAAATCTTATGGGGGCTCAACCTCTTCCCGTCCTGCTCTTCATCGTCATGATTGACTTGAGCAGGTTCGTGTAACTCATCATTCGGGAATGGTATTCTAAACCCTCTGTCGAGTCCAATTTCTCCCACCAGAGCCATTGGGAATCGTTCTAGATTCCCTCGGAGCTCACTCATAACCTCAGAGAGCTTCTTGGGCTCTGGTAGGCCAGCAATAAGCTCATTGGGTGGATTAGACGTCAGTGCTCTCTGGTAGTGCGCAGCTTTGCGGTCTTCTACCGAGAGCTTCTGAAGGTCCTCACGGGAGTCATCCCATATCAGATACGAAAACCAAGGATGGTAGCCAAAGCTTGGTATCACTTTGCCCCTATTCTCCTCAGGAACTTTGGGGTCATACACTCCATATTTTGTGGAAAGTTCGGCAACGAGTGGTTGGTCTGATATACGGGTTCCCATGACTATGATCCCAGAGGCTTTCATGGCAGGTATGGCGTGGGTTGTAGCCATTGTGTCTGTGGGGTGGCAATGTGCGTCGTGGACACCGAGGGACCAGACTGAGCTCGGGAGAGGCTCATATTCGGTATGAAGGGGGGAATCGCTTTGTAAGGTGGGACACATCTTTGGGTGAAGCTTAAGGTAGACAAGTGAAGTTGATGTTTGTCGGGGGGTGATGTAACTAAACGTTCTAAAGAAGCTGGTACATAACTTCTTGGC